ATTCATTACCTTGATGCGATTATCCAACTTATCACCACTAATCTAATTATATATATACATATATAGTTTATTATTGTAATTGGTGGAATCAATGTTTAGTTTAATATCAAAACCTCAGTATTCGATGTATATATTGATATATTACATAAATAAATGGATGTTACATTTTAACTTCAATATTTCAAAATATATAAAATGAACAAATTTCTATTTAACATCGCAATGGTGAAAAAGATTATTATAATAGTTCGGTTCATCCGTTAAGCAGCACCAAAGACCAGCAAATCATAGACACATAGTTTACTTTGAATTTGTAATATTGTTCTTTTTCTCAATGATTGTTCCATAATTTAGTTTCTATTATTAAATGTTTGTCTATAAATAATTCGTAACACTCGAAACTAATGAAACGAGTACAAACTCCCTGGACGTAGTCGTACGAGAATTTTAATCGAGCTGAGTTACTGTTTCTTTCACTCTTCATAGCTGATCTATACTTGAAATAATCTATTTATGGTTAAATAAAAGAATTTAACCGTAAATATGTGATTATGATTAAATTCTTTTATTCAAATTAACAAATTTTTTGTATAATATTACCACTTGTTAAAATCTCCTTGCGTCTAGATGATATAAATATGATGTAATTAATGAATCTTATCAAAGATTACATTGAAGTTTATAATTCCCGAATTTATTTCAGAACTTTCCAAATACCTTTGTACCGTATTTTATTAAAAAAAAATTACATGTAATTTATTTTTGCCTTACGCTTACGCAGCTGTGACTGGCTTCATAATCATGTATCACATATAACGTTTGCAGCACTAGTTGCTGTATAATGTAAATTATTATTTTACAATGTTTAAAGTATGAAATTTTTATTTGGCACAATTTATTTTCATATCACCAAATTAATAAAAGGCGCAATAATTGCTTACCTTGTCTATTATTTAATACTAGCAGTGCATGCGGTTTCACCCGCGTTAAATTTCAATATATAAATTTCATTTAACCTATGCGTTATTCTGATGCATAAGTTATATTATTGTAAAGTTTCATCAAAATCCGTTCCGTAGTTTTTGCGTCAAAAAGTAACAAACATCCATACTCTTCTTTCTTTCGCGTGTACGATTAAATGACTTACTACTCACATAGTACATACTTTTATTATTTGTGAGGATTGACGGTACTCCTAACGCTACGCGAGAATATTTCATGGCTACTTTCTACTATTATATAATTATTATAAGTTACAATTTATTTATCTCATTGCTTTCTTGATTTCATTATTTTATAAATATGACAGCGTAGCGATTTTTGTTTTGATTGCCGCATGCATTCTTATGTAAAATGTGAATACTATACTATCAGATGGCAATTGTAAGTAGCTATGATGTGGTCTAGATAAAATATGGTCGAGCGCAGTGATGGCTGGCTTATCCGTCATACTCGTGAACGGGTGCTGCTTGTACGGACTGGTCTGCTCGAATCAATCTCCATGTCGTACGTAGTATAGTTTTGAGGTTGCAGCGGCCGTCTATCATCCTCCTGATGAAAGTGGCGTCTCCGTGGGTCGAACCCGATTACGACGTCACAGATCTTGACTGGACACGGCTGCTTCGGTAAGCGACTGCATGCTATGAGACTCTACGAGTCGAGCAGCTGTAGTTGCGGGGAGTCAGAAGAGGACCTCCACCACGTGTGTGTGGGAGTGCTCACTGAATTCGACCTTAGGAGGAAGCTGCTGGAGGGGATACGTCGCGGTAAAGGCGAAGGAGAGTGTCCGGGGTACTACCCGGACTTGGTGTCTTCGGCGGAGAACTTTAGGAGGCTGCGGGAGTTCGAGCATTGGGACCGGAGGCGGAGCGAGTACGAGAGGACTAATGGTGGTACGCGTTCAAGAAGGGAGGATGCTGCTGAAGACAGAGTGCTTCCCGGCACCAAAGCCGTTCATGTTTCGTCCGCTGTCCCAGAAGGGGAAGTGTGCGATAGAAGAGACCGGAGTTGAAATAATTTGTAGGGGTCAAGAGACTGTGTGCTTTTCAGCGCGCATTCCCCGTAGATTCGGTCAGTTTAACCGAGAGGTTGGCATGGCCATGGGTTGGTGGAGGGTTGGTCTGCTCTAATCACTATGACTGATTTTCTCTTATTAATAGTTTAACCAGTTAGTTATATATTCAATATTTTTTCTATTTGAGTATTTAATTGAATTTATTTAATTGTTTGTATTCACACACTTAAACTTAAAAATGTAAAGTAAAAATAAAATTATTTAATAAAGCAACACGCAAGTTTCTTGCTCGTTTTTCTTGTGATGAGCTTTCCGAATGAGCGCTAAATTAAAAAAATGTGATGACTATTCAAAAGTGCTTCAATGTAAGTTGAATGATTTCTATTCTATTCTACATAAAATTATACCTATGAGTACAACGATTCTATCGTTGTACTCATAGGTATAGGTATTATGTAAGGGAAATAATAAACGAGTTGACTGCCCACATGCTGATAAATAATAAGTGTCGTCTTTATACATGAACAGCACTACGCCGCTATATCTAAGGTTATTATGTGACGTCTGTGATACACTCTTGCGTCACCCTTCCGAAGGACTGAGAATTCATGCCTCCATATCCTATAATTTCACTGTTTTATCTTATACTAGCTGACCCGCGTAACTTCGTCTGCATCATATTTCATTTCATGAAATTTATCATTATATTTCGCCCAATTTACATAATATCTTTTAAAATTATAGCCTATATTATGGTAAAGTTTCGTCACAATCCGTTCTGTAGTTTTTGCGTGAAAGAGTTACAAACATCCACCCATACTCACAAACTTTCGGGTTAATAATATTATATTAAGATTTTAAACTGAAACACAGTTTACAGAGTACGCTGCTTGGTAAATAAAGTTAAGTCAACTCATGTACCAAAGGTTTTTAAAAAAATTTATATCGGGAATATCTCACTTCGAAGTGAGTTATCGATACAATTATCATAGTAACTTGTTAAGAAATCAAAAATATACATAATATAGTTTATCGATAGATTGCTATGAAATGATATACAACATATTTTTCAAAATTTATTTTCTTTGAATATTAGAAAAAAACAAATTTAAACTCTAAACATAAGAAATACAAACCCTAAAAATTCGGCATAGCGAAGATAGTATTATGGAAAAATAAATGCTAGAATTTGTAAATGTTAATTAACTTATCAATAAACTCTATTTAACGTAATTAAATTATGAGGTAGATCGATTTCAAGTAGTCTTTCATTTAGATCTTATCTATAAATAATTAAGACACTAGCAATGAATATTATAATAACTGAAAACTGAGGAAACCCGTATTTGTTTACAATCTACTATTCAGTAATTCTCTTAATTATGTTATGGCATGTTTTGGTTACTAATGAGTAAATACTTAATTATTATCTGTCATCGTTACTATCCCTAATCTCAAATAACAAAACAAACATTCAGTTGTAATTATTACGAGATGTGTTACATAATAATAATCTACTTTTTTAGACTTTTCGATGGGGTACACTCATAATAATAATAATTAAACTAAACACTAAACATTATGCAAGTAATGCAATGAAACTTCGTTAAAATAGCATAAAGTAAACTGCTTTTTTGGAAAACATAGCATAAAAATTCATTCCCTAACTCAGTTGTCAAGAAATAGCCAACATATATTACTTTAATGACTAAATAATAAAAGCTGTTCACAATTAAATTTGTGACTAATACGTATTTTAAAATACAAGTAAAGATATTTTTTGCACATTATCATTTTCAATTATTTTTTAATCCGAATACTCTCGCCAACAATACAAAGTATTATTTACGGATATATCATTATGATATGTATGAAACAAAAATTCATTTTTGAATGACATCCCGATCATTATACAGCTATACAACACATTCGTTACAAATTTGTACCACACACATGTACAATACTATTTTGTATCCTACGAAGTCCAGTGCTATTAACTTTGCTGGCTTTCGTGGATTCATATCGTTGAATATTAAATGTAGAGTCTAATTAATATAATTAACATAATAAACTTGATTACTTAGTGATATTACTCACTATATAATTTGTGTAAAGTTGTATAGAAATCTTTGAAGAATATGCAAAATATAGTTCATCCACGTACACGGTAACAATAATAACTACAACGTTACAGCTTTACATCATACATAAACATTTACCTCACAAATTAGAGTAACAATAAAAATATGGTCTCTTAGAAGTGACCATTCATAAAATCTATAAAATGACCATGCATAAGATGCATTATTGTATTAATAAATTTAAAGATGTCTAATTTGTCCTAAATATGGTAATTGAGCAAATATTTCTATTTAAGTTTACTAAAAATAGTAATTTGTTTGGTAATATTTATTGTTATAGTATACTTAGACTGACTCAAAATCTATATTATAATTACAACAATGATTACATTTTTTAGATTTTGAACCCTCATGATCTCAATAAGTTCACACATATGTTTACATGTACGTTATTTTGATAAACTTTGTGAAACATTAAGAAAATATTCATAGATACTTAGTAATATAAAAATAATGGATACCTCTATGTTTTATTCTTTTATATCAAATGTGAAATATAGTAATAGCAGAACAGGAAAAAGTCCAGAGTTTTCCCTTATCGTTGTCCTTCATTAAAATGTTATTACAGTATTTCTAACAATTATTAAATGAGGTATAATGATTATTAGCACAATATATGTATCTAGATAATGCCTCTAGGAGAAGTCTAAGAACTTTAATAACAATAATAAAGCAACAACACGATTTAATCTTTGTATATTTCTTTCTGCCTAATTTTATTTAGATTAAAGTTTTGTTTTTAGATCTTTTTGAATTATAGATGCTATGTCTATAAATATATGTTATAAACATGATTTCCAAAGCAATTTACTTAATGCTCATTTCATAATTCAGCAATGTACAATAAAAAAAGAGAAAGCAAAACTTGATACTATTACGTAAGTATGCAGCAATGTGTGGCTTCTCTTTTGTATGAAATTTTAATGTTCCTACGTTTAATATTAGTAGTAATGATATTAAAATCCTATGAATGGATAACTTTGCTTACTTATTTCTTATTTTTTTGAGCAAACACAAATTGTCATACTTGATACTCACTCTACATAAAATAATATTTGTTTATAATATAAAAACAGATGTTGGAAGTATTTTAAAATATCATATAATTCAAAATTATCTTTCTCAATAACATGTCACTTTTAGTTAATAGTTTGAATACTATATACTATAAATACTATATGCTATTGAATATATAGAAATCATTATATGTATCTATTATTGCAACTTCTTTTTACTTTGGCTTGTAGACATTCATATTTGTATAGTAATGCAATGAATGAAATAAACTATGACAGTATAATTCAAACAAAACCAATTTTTAATTTATATGATATGCGATTAATACTAACTTTGAAATACTCATTTGAAGTATAGGTGGTATTAATAATAAATTGTGTAAAATTAGGTGAATTAAGATATTATTTTATAATTATTCTATGTAAACTGATTCCCTAAAACTAATTTTTCCTTTGTAGAGGTAGTTTATTAGGTACTTCTTTTTTTTGCAAAAATGCAACATTTATACTATAACGGTGTTTAAACTATTAAAATATCCTAAACAACAGTTTAATGTTTTAAAACTTCCTCGCAATATTCATAGCCAGATATAATACTACTAATCTAATTATGGTTATAAGTAACTAATATAAAGTTTGTCATAATATATAATAGCAACAAAATTAATAATAATGATATAGACACACACTTAACTTTGGGTAAATACAATATAAAGTAAATTAATTAAAATATTGACACTCGAACACATAAATTTGTACTTACGTTACTTTTGCAGAACTTAATTATAAACTTTCTATTCATTAAAATATTAAGTGTAAAGTTTTGTACTACATTATGGATTTGTACTGATCAGTCTTGTGCTTAAATCTATAAATCATACTGCAACTATTATAATATTATTGGGCAAAATGAGGTAGAATGGTGTAGACACTCTTAGCTTTTACAGCAAAAGATATACTAAATTTAATAATTAGTACATTACAAAAGTTATATAGTCTATTAATTGCATTTGATGAAACTGAAATATATTTTTGACACCAAAATGAATTTACAAGACATTTCTTTAGGATCCTTAACATAAATACAATGCTTCAACAAATAAATGCTACTAAAAAGTCTAATCACGTTTTGTAACACAAACTAGAATGAACGATGTGATTACGACTGCGGGCTGCCTAGCTGGCTTCCTTGCGAGCTTCCAGAACTCTTTGATTGGGGTTCGTCCTTCTTCTGTAATACAAAATATCACTCATTAATCGTCTAGAGCTTATTTAACATACAATTTCTACAATGTATTTAACAAAAACTTTAAATTACAATAACATGGACTGCTGGTTTGTGTAGAGATTATATATGTTATAGAAACTTTATTTTCATTGTTAAAAATATAATAATAATTATAATAAAAAAAAAAGTTACATATATTTTGTCTGTCTATGTATATCGTTATTAAGTCTGATGGATAGTAATAAGGGAACTGTTTTTGCTGTATACCGTACCATACGTAACTGGTATACCGTAACTACTATTGATGATCACGTTGCTTGCTTCCCTGTATAATTTTTATTATACTAAATGAAGAGACAATTTATCGTCTTAGCTGATTGAGTAAGTACTATACGTCAAATTATACATGAACTTTTAGTCTTTACGCACTAAGAATCATATGTGTGACAATGAACATAATGCGGTGAACCTAAACATTTTCAGACAAACAAAGCTGCTTCCGTTGTCTTATCTTATCAATTAATATATTATTGTTTTTTAATTATTGTAACTAGTACGGCAAATAAACATGTTTACTTACTTATATAAGTGTAATACTTATTTACAGTTTGTCTTGTTAACTGTCGACGTTATAATGAATACGACATTTGATTAATGACAACATCGATAATTTTTTAAGAACGTTTGAATACTGTGTAGCAGCAGTGACTTCTTTCGAAAGAACTTTTTAGATTTTTTTTATTTGTTTAGTTGTTAACAACTAACCAAAATAATATATAATAATAAATTAATAAACAAACACCTACCATGATGACCATTAATCCAGTTGGGTTAGGCGGACTCATCGTCAATTGTAGATATTTCCAAGAACAGAATGCTTGACATGCCTATATTTCTAATATAACGATAGAAAATAACACATAGTTAACTTTTGTGTTAAATCTTATGCTTTCTATATTTATATTTTTAATGTAAAAAACCCAAAATAAATTAGATGCACACACAAATAAAGTTCTGCACGATATTTTTTATATGCAACATGGAGGTAACGAGTTAAAAGATCATTGTCATAATTACCTTTAATGGACAATCAGCAATGAGGTGATCTTCGCTCTTGCAGTTATGACATCTCTTTGGTTGTGGTCCAATACTGCATTTCGCAGCTATGTGATTAGCGAATTCTCCACAATTGTAGCAGCTGTAACAAGAATATTCAGAATTATAAACTCGACTATAAATATAGTTCGTATCACTGCAAATATTAGTTTCCACTAATTTATTGATATAAGTTTCATTAAGAAGATATCCTCGTAGAACATCATAATGTATTTATTTAGTTTATTTAATTGCTTGTTATCTTTTATAAAATATAATATTTTCAATTAGAATATTAAAAATATTTATGTATAATAAAATTTTTATATATTATAACATGTAATTTGATATTATCGATTCTTTATGTTAATTCATTCTTATTAGACTTTAGTAGCCTTATCTCTTCTTTTCGTTTCAATTTGCAGCCACATCGTTAAATATTTTTATCTAAGTACCTACTTTACACAAACCACACATCTCAATACAAATCTCTCTCTAAATCTAATCAGTCATATTCATATTTAGTACCTTATATCTCATATTTAATATATATATATTAAATATAAGGATATTAATAATTAGAAGATTCTATTGCCAAAAGCAGATCAGAACAAATATTATACCGTATTTTTCTGAATCTCTTCTTCGATAAAGGACGGCGGTGGGAACCCTGGCAATCAACAGATGAAGGACCCGATACCCGTGTTGCTTCCAGACCCTTATCGGATTCCTTGCACTCGAATTCTACTTCCTCTTCGTCGCCTAGTGATCGAAACCCAGGCATTTGGATGACACTCTGAAAATAATAATTACACTATCAATATTCAGTCTACAATTCCGTTTATATCTATCACTTTTTTATATTTACTGAAACTCAAGCTAACAAAAAATTGTATTAATTCATAGTTCTATTAAACGACCACTATCATTTAAGACATATATTTAATTAAAATAACTATTTCCAAATGTATATCTTAGGGAATAACCAAATTTTTAATAAAAAATAATAAATAGCAGTTTCAATGAAATATATATTTAAATAAAATACCAAACTTTTTTTGAAAGAAAAATATTTTATTCAATGCAATATAAAAAATACAATATACCTAAACAACAAAAAAAAAAGAGCAAATAAAATGTACATATAATTAAACTTAATTTACCATGTAGATAATTAAAAATAAATATAAAATAATCATTTTTTACATCAAAAATGCACTGAAATGGCTCCACGCAGCTTTAATGTTTTTTTCTTCCTTTCTTTTCTTTCAAACTTCAAAACCACATGAACAGAAATTCTTTTGAACTTCCTTATTTTGTTCTGCACAAGCTTTAATGTCCCAATTGACACGTATATACTGCTAAAAATATATAGGAACAAACATCACGATAACCGGATTTTCATAAAAATTCCGTTAATTAAAGATCGATTTGATCTCGTTAACAAAAGACTAGAAATTTTTTATATTTAAAATAAAATCAAGTTTTAGTAAAAAAAAGTTTTAGAATTTTAGTTTAGTTTTTAATTTAGAATTTATGTGTATACCCTCGGTAATCGTAAATTAATTTGGACTCTTTGTACAATCCTATCGATTATTTCCAGTGTAATCGACACTGTAATAAATGGATAGGATTCAAAATAATTATAATGTGAATACTTATTCGTTGTATACATTTATTCAGGTTATAGTACTATGTATATATGAATATAAGAATATTGTTAAAATCAGAACAGTATCGCCGCCAGAAAGAAAAATCAACCATATCGACATTCAATAATATAATCTTGACCTAATATTAAATTTTACCGCTAGCGTCGTTGCAACTGAACGAAGTACAAGTTTAGTGGCGTAAATGTATAGAAAAAACATCCGGCCTTGATAAGCCGAACAAACAAACAAGCGGACTATCGGGTCAACCGCTAGATACGAAACTATATTCTGTGAATGAGTATGTTCTTCTACGCACTATTGTGAATAATATATTTATTATTATATTATGTTCGTAACTAGTTGAAGGCGTCAATGTCACATATAAGTATAATTTTGGTTTAAATTGTATGCCTATAATGCTACTAACTCTAAGTCACAGATAATAAAAATGTATATAAGTCGAAACATTATTCATAGATAAGTTTTTTAACATTAATTTCTAAGAACTTCCCAATTCCAATAAAATATAATGTAGCAGTATAATTCAGAACCATTTTAATTTCATATACCAGAAACCATGTTTAGAAACCATTCCATGCAATACTAAGTAGTATTCACTAAATATTTTATATAGTTAAACACATATCTATGTAATATATATCTATAGTTAAACATATAGAAATTAATTAAAGTTATTGCTGATCAAGATCTTATACCGGATGGAAGGAAACAAAACTTGAAAATTATCAGTAACATCTTCCCCAATTATGAACAGAAACCCTCATTTAAAACTGAATTCATTAAACTTCGTTTTAATAATTAAGTACCCATAATAGTTCAACAGGTGTTCGAATCGAGTCGCTTTACAATTGACGTGTTTTAAATGGTACTCAAACTATCGTTAAATACAAAACATGTAGTCCCTTAAAAGTTTATATCACCCCAACGCACGTGCAAACAATTCACACAATTAATTCTTTTATTTAATACTTTACATGTGCATAAGCTTTCACCTGTAATATAGTATGTTTATATTCTACGCAAATAGGTCACTTTTGTATCTTTTCACATTAATACTCAAATAGAATATTAAGGTTATGCATTTTAAAATATTTCAAATTGTCAATAATATTGTAGTAACAACGTAGTAGTGTTCACATATATCTGAGCACATGACTGCATAACACTATATATCGTATACTATATTTTTTATTATGTTATAAAACATAAAAAAAATATAGCAAGGAAGGTAACAATCTCGTTGATACCAATCAAACATTTCAATTGAATTAGAATTGTATAGCTGCTTTTAAACTAAATTATTATTAAATTTATTATTTTTGGGAATGTTTATATCTACTATTTAAATAGTATTTTTCATTTCGTTCTCTCTCTCTTCAGTACTATAATACATAATGATCTAACTAATTTTATAATTAAGTTTTATAACCGAAATAATTTTGACTAGATTTTTATATTTAAATCAGTGAGTCACCGTAATGCAGCTTTATATATTATAGATGACATTACGGAAACTAACTTCTCTTGACTTAATAGAATTTTAGAGCGTATCACTACATAATCTTCATGTATCATATAATTAACAAATGCTATTGTTACGTACTCCTTTAAAAATGTGCTTATTGATAAGGCTACAGAAATTTAAATACAAATGTGTAAAAATTTTGTGCTTTCAGTAAAGACCGCTTGAATTTTCTGTTTTATATTTTGTTACTAATACTATCTATATGTATATATACATTGATAATATTAGATGATATACCTGATGCACAAAGACATCTTGTCCGCCATCATCAGGAGTGATGAACCCCCATCCTTTAGCCACATTGAACCACTTGCATCGGCCGCGTCGCGTTACGCCCACCACACCGCTCCCACTGGCATCACCGGCGCCTGTAATAGATACAGTACATTTTAATTTAAACATTTATTTCTTCTGCATTTGTTTATCGAAATACAATCATTAGTATTGCTGTAACCATTAAAAGCAATAAAATTCTAGTAAACCGCATCATAAATTGCAAGTGATTATTAGTACAGAATCTGTATTCTGTATTACATATTGTACATATACAAATTAAGAAAATACCTCCAGGTCGGAGGTCTTAAAGAATCCTAACACTAAGTTAATTATGTCTATTAAAGAGACAGTATCAATAATAAAAATCTACTAACATTCACTACTTCTTGAGTAATATGTAGTGAGTAGTGATTACTCATTACATATTACTCAAGAAGGATCATTTGTATTTTTTTAACTATATACGAGTAGAAAGAACCTAATAGACAACTCTAAATAAAATAAAGCGCGGTTCACCAGTCGGCTATAGTGTTTGGGTATACACAAACGAATTTAATAAATTTTTTTGTAATTTTGTTTTAATTTAATTGTAATAAAATATTCCAATCTTACAAATATCCATCATTTATTTTAATATATTTATTTAAAAAATATTGCTTAAACCGAAGACTATTTAAATAGTAATGCATTCAAACATTCACAATTGCTGTATAATAACCCACTACCTGCCTACGAAAGTACCTACTAACATACTTGTTATTCGTCCCCTTTTAAATTCATGCTTAGACTTTGCTGTTTGAAATCTATTAGCAATAAATAAGGCCCCACGATCGCTTACTGGACTAAGAAAGGGTATACTTCCCCAATCGAGCGCCCTCACAAAAAATAACGTGGGAACCAAATTGAAGAATGGATTCTTCTTTTTATATGTCACTAACGCTATTAACCTCAAAGAATCATTTTGGGCAAATAAATTTTCATATAAATTATACCACGATATTGGTTGTTTACTATGAATAACGTAAATATTTATGGCATTATTAGTCAAATTCACTATATAGCAAATAGTGGAAATGAGTAAGCCAGTCGATATTTCCGTTCAAAATAGTAACATGAGTGTACAAGAAACTAATAAGCATTAATGGGAAGTCGATGAGTAACTGCTTTGAGATTTAATAATACATTTAATTTTAAAAAGACATTGTAAAGGAATGCAAAAGCTTTAAATAATTTATAATTAAGTACTTATAAATAAACCATAAAATAAAATTCAACCAACGCGCAACATTTTCATAAAATTTAGCAACCAAACTGGGACCGTAGTATTAAGTAGTAATTATGAACAAACAAGAGACTTAGCAAGATAATTTCATTTATTTTTGCATCTGCAACTACTAGTAAATAGTAAACTAAGTATTAATAGTTATAATAAACATGTTATAATAGACATGATATATTTTAAAATAAAATATTGTACAAATAAAATATCAGTTTAAGATCTTGACAGAATCCTATTCTTTAGTTCTAATTACGTGTCATTACAAGAATATTCTACAATTTTCTTAATGAATTAAATAAATTAATTGATTTGTCAATGTTGGATAAATTAAAGTGCTCATCATCAACAAATAAACTTAATAAAAGAAACTTATACTTTGACTAAGGATTATTATTGAATTAGAGTCAGTAATATATGGGTATATAACTGTGCTTGTGCTTTAGCAGATTAAGCTGCACTAGTGGTTGCAGTGTCATTATTAACAATTATCTATTTGTTTCCCCGCTATAGTTGTTATAATAAATATATTATTTTCTTCATCCGGAACATGACACGGTACTGAAAATACTCTATTATCAGAATCTATAAAATACGATCTAGCATTTCTTTGGCTCTTAATTACAACCTATCTCTATTTAATCCTAAATTTAAACAACACAACTTCCCCAGGATTATCATTTTTAAATTTACATAATTCCTGTTATAAATTTTCTCATTCATCATCGTCCTTTCTATCAATGTTTGTTTAATTCTAACTTTAGGTACGAATTTTTACAATTACTTGGTTTTCTTAATCTTTAACCTCTCTAAGTTTTCTATTGAATAAAATTTTTGCTAGGGATGGAGTATTATGTGTTACAGGATTATTTCTAAGTTTCAATATTACAAAGAATGGATCCTTATTATCATGTAAACTTTGCATAAAAAACATTTAACGCACTGAATCGTGCGTTCTACGATTCCTTTAGATTGTGCGTGCTCAGGACTACTAAAGATGTGATCAATTTACAATTTTATGAAAAACTCTTATAATTAAGCTGAAGAAAACTGTGGACCTCCATTACTGATTTATGTCTCTGATATCCCATCCAACACAAGTACTTGTAGTTGATTCCAAATAACAAGTTTCCAAATACCAAATAAGTTCAAGATACTTTGAATTAATCGACAGCTTATATATAACTATTTCCACCAAGCTCAGATATGTCAACTGGGTCTATCTGGCATACTATGAGAAACCAAAGGTTCTTTTTTATTGTTGTTACTATATAGCTTACAGGTTTCATAAGAAGACATCATTTATAGAAACAACAGATACTCTACATTATGACATCATCTCCAAATTTATCTTCGAAAGAGATCCTGTAAATTTGTTATTTAATTCATATATGCATTTTCTTTCACTTCTACTCACTCTGATAATGGGTAATCCATGCCATGCCTCGATTCCGAGAAGTGGTAGAGGCCTAGAATTATTGCATCGTACGTATTGCATATTACGCAAAAATTCGTTTCGAGAAATATTTCGCCATTTCCTTTTTAAACTCGAATAGTGTAGTATGATCCCTTTTAGGATGCCTAGGAGATGTAAACTTTATGAGCTACTTCGTTTGAGTAATATTATGTTTCATAATTAATTCAAATAAAATAAACAAATGAAACCTAGAATAAAAGCCCATCAAAAATATAACTTATTAATGCTGCATAATATTCCAACAACGAATAGTTTTGAAGCAGTCCTTATAAGGGCACCAATGTACATTTAAATAAACAAGCTTCCAATTCACATAGTTAAACATCGCCGGGCATTTGAAAGTTCATTGGTAGGTTTGCTAATTCGATATACATTTCCATGTGTTGGTATGTAAGCTAAGCATATTATTTCGGGCGGCGGCAGCGGTAAAAGAGAGCTGCTACACGTGGCGACGGCGGCGGGGATTCGAAGAATGTGTGGTATTTAGGTTGCGTTTCTGGTACCTTTTCATTCATTGCCGCAACACTGCACCTACCCGGCCTCGTCGCCGTACAGCCTCGGCCGGCGCACAGCGTCATGCGCTACGCCACTAGGCCTCAGCGGTCAACGCCACTCCTTATAAACCCAGTTAACTTTACCCATAGTAGATCTCATGAGAATCATAAGTGTAAGAAAAATTTGTACCCGGTCCTACTTTCAAACTTCTGAATTCCACGTATTTTAGTACATTTTATAATAAATAATGATTTTTCTTTTGCAATAACAATGAAACCTATCTGACCTAAAACAGCAGTTATTATAATTTAGAAAGGTTAGAATCAACTTCTTGTACTACCTTAATTTTATCTGTAAGTTCTATAAAACGTTATTATGAACTTTAGAATTTTCTCATACCATCAACGTGGCCTCTCGAAATAACTGTATCTTATCTTAGTCGGATGAATGAACGAAAACAACGCTGATATCAAAATACCTGAAAATACTGCTCTTAAAGCGATAATATTCTATGCAACATTCCACTCCATAGCGTGGTACGTAGAACTTAAATTTAGTATCATGCAAAGGCAAAATAAGTATTTGTTATTTTTGATGCTATTATTTATGATCTACTCGTATGTACTATAGGTATACGAGTAGATCATAAATAATAGCTATATTTAAAGTTAAGTAACTTTAATGACTGAAACAATCTAAATATTAAAATAAAAATAATACATAGATATGTTTATATTCTTCATTTCGTATATTATATTAGTTTGAATGTTATATTCCTAAAAAGAAATTTACAAAGAAGTTATAGTTTCGTCAGAATTCAAGTAAATAAAAAATGTAATTTTGTTAATTGTTGATTGCTTACATATAATTATGATTTTATTGATAAAATTAAATAGCCCTGTGTGTAAGTGGCTCTTGTGAGCGTTGTATGTCTGTATTAAAATAGTAAGAAGACGGCAGCGGAGGCGCGTGTATCTGTTTTGTACTTTTGTTTACACAGCACGGAGCGCTGCGGCGCGCGTGAGGCGGAGAGCGCGTACCATGATGCCTTACCACTGCCACCGTGCGCTTTGGAATTTCGGTGCAACGCTACATACTTGTGCACTCAAAGCATTAGTTGCATTCCATTTCCCCTACTATAAACAATTATTACAATAAAATCCTATTATTAATTACTAGAGAAGAAAACACTCATATTCTATATATAATAATATCGTCATTTATTTAATAAACACGTAAAACAGCGATAAAAAATGTATATTGCAAAAATAATATATTTCAGTTTGTTTTTGTGCAAATAAAATTGAAATAATATAACTTAGGAATAATTTTACAGTTAACTTTAACCAAAATAAATATGTATTTTTATAAATAAAAATACTGCAAATTAATAATAAAATAAACTAATAATTAATAATCAAATTTATATTGTTTTACCTAAAACACTATCATTAGTTTACCTAAATCACTATCTGCAGTTTCCTACTGATTGCGTCTTACAGCTTAAAATATTACTAGGGATAAAATAGAAATACATGCAAAAAATATTTATATTATATATTATATAAGTTATGGTTTTATTTACGGCTGGCCAATTTAATCCCAGTCGTACTCTCATTAATTTATTCAACTTTAGCCAGGCCAATCGCAGGAAATTTTTAAGTTCTGTTGAAATGACTCTTGGGCTGTTTCAGAACTATTGCTGCATTAGATACCACCCTCATTATATATATATACATACTTAAATTAGTTATATCATCCATCTGAATTGTCATTATATGAATCAATTTCATGTCTTCTAATACGTAACCCATCAAGGCCCCGTGTGGGTCATCAACCCGAGT